ACTGGGTGATGTTGTACTCTATTTCTCCAGCTTCTTTGAAACTCACTTGCTTGAAATTGCAGGGGAATGACTTGAAAAAAAGTGTCCCTGACTTGTTAAAATCAATGAGGCTTAACAGGATGCTGGCTCACAGGTTAAAGGAGTGTGCACTGACCATTGCTGCTGCCTTTGCCTGTGACCCAAAGTTCACCCTTCCTTGGAACTGCTCCTTTTTCCACTCACTTTTTGGGAGTGACTCTCTTAACAAGCAGTAAACAAGGCTCACGTGTCCGAGGCCTGAAGCTGTAGCATCTTCCTTTTTACAACTTCCTCAGCTAGAGTGCAAAGGAGCAAGAAGGTTTCTGTGAACTCCACCAGTGCTGAGCATGGTGGGATTCCCTGGAGATGAGGCAGCTCCCACCCCCTTTTGCTGCCACTCTTTTACCCCATCCCTGCCCTTCCCAGGACTGGGCTTCCCAGGGCTCACTGTGTCTTGGGATCATAAAGGGATGTGATGGTTCCTCCAACAAACCTCTGTGTTAGTGCTCTCTGAGGCAAGGAGAAAGCTGCTGCTGTCAGGCAGACAGAAAAGTAGCTAAATATTGATTGTTCAATAATTTATTTCTGAAAATCACCATGGGGGTGATGTACACAGTTACATGTTGTGGATACTATCTCAAAGCAGGGTTTGGTGGATGGGATACACGATGCTAGGGAGTTTGGTCTCATTCAAATGCTTTTCTTGCTCTATTATCATTCAGCAATGCTTCTCCCCAGCTCCTGCTCCCACTGCTTTCCTTCTGCCTGCCTGTGATAGCAGCAAGAGCTTGACATTTATTAAAAGAGAGGGGAACAGCACACTCTTGTGGGGCTGTCCTTCCCAGCTGGCTGTGGAGCTGTAAGGAGAGCAGGATTCCCTCAGTGGGCACAGACCTGCCATGGGAAGGATTTCAGCAGCATCTCCCCATGGCACCACCTTTGCTCCATCTCAGCAGCTCCATCCCAGCAAACCCACCTTGCTCTAAGGCAAGTTGTGATTTAATGCTGTCATTTGCAAATCATTTTCTCTCAGCATAATGTGTAGTTCTTACCACCAGCAATACCTCCAGATGGACCTGCAGAGAGCAGTTGAGCATGTGTTGCATTGTACAACGAACAAGGCAGTTGCTGTTCTGTCCAGTGCTGTTTGTTTAGCCACTTAAATATATTTAGACAAAATATTTTAGTGTCTCCAAGACCTTTGTCCTGATTCTCCTTTTATGCTGGGTACACTGAATGCTGCTGTTCACTGGGCATGAGTAATCACTGTGTAGATACTCCTTTATTAATCCTAGAATCACAGAATCATACACTGGTTTGGCTTGGAAGAGACCTTATCAATCTTTCTCTTCTGTCTTTTTTTTTTCCCCTGCTAAAATGCAGTTTCTAGAGCAGGTTGTTGCCAAAGAAATTATTTCAGGACATGTAAATAATAAAATAATTTCTTGTTCTCTGTCCAGTGAAGTAATTTGGTGTAAAGAAATCCACGAAGAACTTGCACTGCTGAGGACCCAACTGGTCCCATGCAGCTTTCTGCTTTTTCCTTTGGAATGATGCGTCATTGAAGGTAATAAGAAAATAAGGAGAGATTTGAAGTCTAATATAATAGTTCTATTTGAAAAAGCAGGAACTAAACCAAAGCTGAATAAATGGAAATGAATACAATTCATGCTAGACGTTAAAAACAAAAAAAAAAAAAAGGCACTGCAAACAATGAAGGGTATTTTAAAAAGTCACTGTTTTATTAATAATACTTTCCACCCCTTTCCCTTGATCTTTCGATGACAAGCCTGGCAGAGGCACTTTTATCAGACACTAGAGCAATTTTGCTGCTGTCATGTGCCTTTCTTGATACACATGTATTAGTCACGCAGCCGTTTTATGTTCTTTAGCATATTTTAGTATATAATTAAAAATGTGGCTGTCTGCTACCAAGCAACCAAGCACGTCAGGGACTGATTGTGTTCTGTCACCCACTGCAGAAGGGAGGGGAAAAAAAAATAATAATAATCATGTGTTCACTTTTCAGTCTTAATTGTGCTCCAGCTCCTTGGGTATGTTGTTGCAGACACACACTGACTTCTGAAGGCAGAGGCAAAGCCAAGGTGTGGGAATGGCTGGTAGGTGACCCACAGCCAGGTGACTGTCACTGATAGCACATCTGTGCTAAATATTGGGCTTTTAATGTGTAGGTGTGGTTTTGTTACTCTTTTGGGTTTGATTCACCTGGACCCTGCCAAACTGCACCTTGGCTTTCCATCTGTTTGGGCTCCTGAGATTCTCTTCCTGGACATTTAAAAGAGGCAACTGAAGTTTATGTTTGTCTTGTACCTCCTCCAGGAGGTAGATAGGAGCAGGACTGCTGTGCTGAGGGGCAACAACTGTTGGGCAGCTGAAAATCATGCACTTCACTCATTTCTAGGTTAGTTGATGTGAAAAATGACCCACACAGCTGCTGGACAGGAGGTGAATCACTCCTGAGTGTGCCCAGGTAATCCTTGTAAACTCAGGAGAGAAGCACCAGAGATATAGGTCTCTTGTCCCAGATCACCTCCCAGAGGTAGTCAGCACCAGATGGGGCAGAGACAACACCACTTCCCCTTCCAGAGGCTATCAGCACCTCGTTCCTCACACTGCTGTTCTGTCTCATGCTCCTACAAATTTCAGGTCATGGAACGGGTAAGGTTGGAAAGGACAACAGCAGATCATCTGGTCCAACCTCCCTGCTCAAGCAGGGTCAGACTAGAGCACATTGCACAGGATTGTGTCCAAATGGTTCTGGAATATCTCCAGAGTGGGAAAATCCACAACCTCTCTGGGCAGCCTGTCCCAGTGCTTGGTCATATACACAGTAAAGAAATTCTTTTACATATTTGGGTGGAACTTGCTGTGCATCAGTTTCTGCCTGTTGCCTCTTGTCCTACTTGTTGGCACCAACAAGCAGGTTCTGATCCATCCTCTGATACTCTCCCTTCAGGTACTTCTAGTCATTGTGTCCTCACCTGGTCTCCTGTTGCACTGTTCCTGTGTGCTCTAGCCCAGGCTGGTTGTGCTAGTGGATCCCTGCGAGTGATGCTGTCCCCACCCAGTGGCTGCTGTCAGGAACCAGCTGAACGAGACTATGTTCAATGGGCTGGTAAAAAGACACAATTTCACTGATCTCCTCAGCCCCAGGCTTATTTAACTCTGGGCGTTAGGGGATTATTTCCATGGGAAGTTGTGGCTCTGAGGGTGTGCCCTTAACCTGTGTGCTCCTTGGTAAGGTGGTTCTGCCTGTGGGAAACCCTCTCCTGAAGCTGGAGAGATGCTTGGCTCTGGAGAAGGGCTGACACATCTTCTCCAGGCTCAAGAGAAAAAGGGATTTATTATATCAGCTCTATGCCTCACTTCTCCAGTCTCTTTCTGTCTCTCAAGCACGTGCAAATGTGCCCAAGCACACACTGTGAGCAGCAATGCAGTCACTATTTCCAAAGTTTTCCAGTTTTAATAGCTTTTATTTCTTCAGCAGAATGGAAGCCAGCACATCAACACAGGGTTTTTATGGCATCAGGGAAAAAACAAATGATGCTGTAAATAATTCAAAGGTTGTTTGTTGTTCGTGATTCCTTTGATTCAAGCTCCAGGGCGAAGGATGACATTGCCTTTACATTTTTCACCATCAGCACCCGAGACAAAATTTGCTCTGAGTCTGCCAGGATTCTGAGATGTGACACTGAGGCTGCTGGAAGATGATAAACTCCCTTGGAATCCCCTGATTTCTCTTGGTATTCCCCAGCTGGCTTTATCTAACCAGGCAGGATGTCGATGGGGAAGGAGTCTCAGCCAGCCAGGTATGAGGAGACCCAAGGCAGACACTTTATGAGAGCACTTTGGGGTTCTGTGGTATAGTCTGGAGCCCAGTTTTGTTCACAGGCAGCACTGCTGCAGATTGTGCCCTGTTTGTCACACTGGGGACTTGCAGGGGTTGCACAGTGAGATCACAGCATACATTTGGGTAGCAAGAGGAGACTTGTCAGCACATTCTGAGTATCTGAGAATACCAAGACAAGATACAGCTCCTGTTGTGCTCCACAGCAGTGTTGTCTGCTGATTTGCAGCTAGTGATGGTGCCTGTAATCAGACTGTGCTGTTCCCTTACCCTGGGTGCAAAGGCTGGCAGCTGAGTTTCTTTTGTGCTAGTTTAGATGAGCTGAGAAAACAACACCACCACCAAGAAGAAAACAAGAAGAATGCCAAAACCAGTGAAGGAAAGACTCCACGTAAAATATTTTATATAGCATGGAGATTTTGTGTGGTACCATGCCATGGTCTATGAGCCAGCTACACCTGCTCACTTCAGGGGGCCAACCACAAGTGATGGTGGGATACCACTGAGAAGGGCCATGGCAGCCCCAAGTTTGGATTAACCAAATGAAGGAATAATCCTACTCACACTCCCCAAAAGGAGACAGCTTGCTATGAACTACACTACAGGCACTTGGTGGTTTCACTTGTTAGCAACTATTCTTGTGCACTAATAGATTCCCTTTCAAACAAAGCAATTGAAAGAGGTAAATCAGGTCAGATGCCAATGTTCTGATTGTTCCTCGAAGCTTTTGGGTGTATGTGGTTTCACAGATGATTCTGTATTTATTTTGTTTAAATTTCTGTCCTGCCCACTATACTTACAGTGGCAAACAACTCAGGTGTGGGGCAGGACCAACAGCTTGGGCTTGCAGCTCTCAGAGAGCAGCTGGCTCTTCCTCCAGCACCATCCTGCAGTCTCTGACCCACAGCTTGTATGCTCTTTCCAGGGTCTCTTCAGTGGTGTCATTGAATATCTCTGAAAAACAAGAGTTGTAGTTAATGGGACATCCAGAGGAGCTTTTCCTGCCTGCACACACTGACTGACTTTTGCATTAGGGATTGGTTGGGTTTTAGTTTTAAATCTTATAAGTAAGAATATTTCATTCCAGATGTTGAACAGATACCATTTAGTTTTCAAGTATTAGTTCTAGGCACAGTAATACATTAAATTCCTTTTGCCAAGGATTATTTAACAGATCTTTTTAAGCCTAGCAGATGTGTTGGTTTTTTCCTTTTGACCTTGTTGGTTTGTCTGCCAGAGCACTGTCAGCTTGCAAACACCTTTGCAAGGTGAATTGATTAATCATAGTGCAACTAATTAAGCCTCAGTCTTTAATGAAATTCCAGGAGTTATACACAGGAGAGATCCTGTCTCTCGATAGGTTCATCGAGATGTGAAGAAAAGCACAAGAAACCCTAGAAATATACAGCTACAAACCACAGGGTGTATTTTCCAGCATGTCCTTGTGCTGGGATGCCAACTTCCCCCCAAGTGCCACTCCAGACGTGCCATGGTGTCCCTCACCACGGTACCTGCTACGCCTAGGCCGGTGGGCAGAGGCATCCGGAGCTGTCCCCCGCTGTGCTCCAGGCGTTCCCTCAAGGCTCTTTGGATGAGGGCCCAGCTGCAGCTGCTGTGCCAGACTGGCAGCTCCAGGCCCTGCATGCACTGGAGGATCTGCTCCTTCTCCTGGGCGCTGATGAGCCCTCGCGCGTGGGCGACGTACGTCATGAATGCCATGTCGACGTTCACAGCCTCCCCGTGCATCAGGGATGGCAAAACCCTCTGCAAGGGAGCAAAGGTGGGTGGGAGAAAAGGTTTGGGTTGACAAAGAGGAAATAAGTAGGTTTTTGTTGTTTTTTTTTCTAAAAGTGCTCCTGAAAGTTGACATTTGACTCACTGCAGTAGAAGTGCAGCTTTGCTGGATGGTGACATCTTGTAATTTATAGGTTGAGAGGATGATCTGTTTGACATGTGATTAAATGCATCTAAAATCTGTCATAGGGTTCCAGGACTGAATTCTCCTCCCATCTAAATCCCTGATAAAGAGCACCATGGGATGGCAAGGAAGAGTTCTGAATCTTGGGTAAGAACTAGCTGTTCCCCCTCATTCCTTGATTTCTACCCAGTAATACATGCTATGGTCTCCAACTCATGTTGATGATTTTTAGTGGCTTCCCTGAAGTCTGGTTGTCTCTGTGACTCACTAAATGCTTGGTAAGAAGCAATAACTTGCCTGGGATGTGAACAGGGAACACAGGTGGAGATGTGGGGGAAACAGGGCAGGGGAAGGGATCCCCTTGCCCAACAGTCTCAGTCTGGTGTCTTGGGTGATCTGGAGTAAGCAGCTGAATATCTCAAGTTTAATTCATCTCTTTTACACAAAGTTTTCATGCTGCCAATTGAAACATTTATTTTATTTTTTTTAGAATGGATATTGCAATATAAACTCTGTCACTCACCATTTCCAGCTCTGGGCTTATAAGGTGACCAAAATCAACCAGTCTGTCCAGGTCATCCTCCCAGAGGTTGGGAGCCAGCTCTTCCAGCATGGTTTCAATGGCAATCCTGGTAGTCTGCAGTGCAGCATCCCCATGGTCAGCAAAGCCACTGCAAGACTGGAACTTGCTGTCCAGGAGGTATTTTCCGTGGCTCTTGAGCAGGTCAAACAGCCCTTTGTGTTTCATGAGGGCCATCTAGGACAAAGAACAGAGAAAATAATTAAGAATTATCTGATTCTTGTGTGTGCTGTTGGAAACTTGATTGTTTCAGTAGGCTGGACTGTTATACACTAGCAAAGAAACACCTGCACACATGATATATGTGCAATTTCTACCTCTGCAGCCTGAAAAAATGTTTCTGTAGACATAGTTCCTAGTTAGCACAAATATGTTTGGTGTGTGTCCAACAGGTTTCTAGGGAGTGTGACCTGGTGGTGATTTTGCACATGTTGTCAGCTGTGGTGAGTGAAGATGTGTGCAAAAGGCAGTGTGGAACTGCTCAGTGGGGCTCTATGAAAATGGCAGCTGATGGACAAGTTCCCTTGCTACTGGGCAGTTCTGCCCATGCTGGCAGTTTGCTACATGCTACACTTTGTAATGAGCTTTATCTATTTGGGTGCTTGAAAGAAAACTTGACAATGAATGGTGACTATTCCCAGGACAGGGACTGGATGGTGACCATCCTCAGGACAACTCTCATCTAATCCTTGAGGTTGTTCTTAGGGCAAGGGACAGTGGGAAAGCACTGCAGTATAGAGAATATGAGGGTTTTGAAGTGATTTACTTGTTACAAATAGATATTTTTTTCCCCTCTGACTCAGGAATTAGCCTCCTTCTGCAATGGGGAATGGTGCCCTATGGGTTTCCCAGTGCCTGCCAGAAACTTCCAGATATCCTTGGGACTTCCCACTGTGCAAGCACTGAAAAATACTGCTGATGAACTCTCTGATACACTTTAATAGCTTGAACTCTGCTTTATCAAAAGTTTCCAAAGCTCTCCAGGCATAAAACCATTTACTGTGCACTTTCCAGGTAATTTTAGAAGTAGAATTTGCCTCGCAGGAGATTGATTGACCACACTCAATATACCCAGCGAGGTAGGTACAAATGATCTTGCAGATTATTAATCCCCAGTATAATGAGCCTCAGATTCTCTGCCAGGAGTTCATTATAGAGTGCTACGGATCAGCCTCAACAGGAAGATGTTTCTCTGTGTCTACATCTAGCTGTGAGTTTTGGAGTTTACTCTGCAGGGTTAGCACTAGGCACTGCGTGTAAGGGATGTTCTAATAAGTTTAGCAGCTGAAAAAAACATATCTGGGTTCAATGATAGTTAAAAGTCCCTTTGCAGCCTTTATGGCCCACCTCAGTTTCTCCAGGTTGGTTTATACAATGCCATCAATGCTGCTGGACGTTTTACCAGCATTTCGGTACTTTAAAGGGCCTTATAAGAAAGATGTGGATAGACTTTTTAGTAGGGCCTGTTGTGATAGGACAAGGGGCTTAAACTAGAAGAGAGCAGGTTCAGGTATAGAGAGAATTTTTTTATGATGGGGTGGTGAAACACTGGAACAGGATGTCCAGAGAAGTTGTGGATGTCCCATCCCTGAAAATAATCAAGGTCAGGTTGGACAGGGCTCTGAGCAACCTGATGCAGTGAAAGGCATCCCTGCTCATGATAGGGAGATTGGACTCCATGGCCTTTAATGCTCCCTTCCAACCCATTCTATGATTTTAGTTTCGAAAACTGAAGTTGCAAAAGATCATACCTTTAAAATTTCCCCAAGGCCGTTGGAGATGTGTCGCCGAGGAATGCTCTGGATGAAGGATCTGTCCAGGAAACTAGCTACTGGGGGGGTGTAGCCCCCGAGCTTGTTCTTACACTGCAGAAAATTCACCCCATTCTTCGCCCCCACACTGGCATCAACGTAAGAGAGGAGGGTGGTTGGGACCCGAATGTAAGGGGTACGTCTTCTGTAGAGGGAGGCAGCTAGTCCTACGATGTCCAGGCAGACACCTCCTCCGATGGCAATGATGGGCTCAGTTCGCCTGTCGATGCTGAAGTTCTGGACTTCTTGTAAAATGTTCAAGACCAAGTCCATGGATTTTGTCTCTTCGGTGGTAGGCAGAGCAAGTATTTTGTGCTGGACATTATTCTCTTCAAAGTATTCTCTGACTTTGGAGCCATAAAGTTTGTCAACGACCTCATCTATGACAATAAAGCGCCTCAATTTCCTTTTGCTGCTAGTGGTGAGCTCTAGTTGCTGGGAATCAGTGATGTGACCCCGGAGCAGAGTAGTGTTAGAGGGATCCAGAATATTGGATGTTTCTACCACTTTGTAGCAAAAATAGATGGGAGCTTCAATTGTCCAGGAAATCCCACTTTCAGAGATGCACTCACCTCTGGCAAGGACCAGAAAACATGGGTTGAAACCACTGTATTCCTGTTTTGTCCTTTGCATGTCTAAACTAGTGTAAGGATGTAGGTGGGAGATGAGAAATGTGGAGTCTCCTGCCCACTCACTGCAACAGTGAGGGGCTGTGAGGGTGGGACACCCTCCTGGGGGTTAGGGCTCAGCTGCTTTATTGCTGGAGAAGTTTTCCCAGGTCTTAGTAACAGTCAAATGTCTGAGTTCCTACATGGTAATGAAAAGATGAAGAGCAAGAAGGGCTGGAGCATGTTTTTCATGCTGGAAGGTGAAAACCCCATTAAAAAACCCCGGTCCAATCATTTCAACTTACGAAAAAGGGAGGGGGGAAGAGAAGAGGTTGCCAAATTTTCCAAAGTATTTATGGAGTAATTATCCTCAGATGGTATATTTGGGTGCTAGGAGTTGATTTATTCCTGTCTGTCTACACACAGCCACACATCACCACACAATACAGTGTTTCTACAATGCTCTAGTTGAACCAGTGGATATTTACATCAAAATAGGTATGATAGAAATAGGAAGAGCTCCTAGAGAGGAAAAGAAAATGATTTGAGGGTTGGGAAATATATCCATTCTGGAGTTCAAAAGGATAAATCAAAGCCAGAATGTAGTATCTATTTACAATCCAGTTATTCCTTCCTTGGGATGGGAGAAGCCAGCAGAAAAACAAGTTGGGAATCAAGGAGTTGAAAAAAAAAAAAAAGGTAAAAAGGAAACAGCAAAATGTATTTTATATAAGACAGTTTTCTTGAGCTACAGTTGGGTAAAAAATAAGTTTCTGTGAGCCTTTGTTTTGTTCCTTGAGTGAGCAGCTGGCTCATTGGATAATCAGATTTCCCT